GATTGCACAGTACTTGAGCGTAGACTGTCCCAAGAAAATTCCTCTTCCTTAGTGCAACCCAGGCAAGCCAAAAGGTTAGATACCTATGCTCAGATTCTGAAAAGAGATGTGACTCTGCTTAGCTCATCTTGTTTTACCAGATATCTATAGATTAACCTGATGTCACATGCAATCGCTTAATCTAATTGTCTTATACGATCATAGATATTTACACAGAACTGAGGGGCCTCACTTAAAAGGAGCTATGAGAATCTGGAAACACTAAGTGGTGTCACCAGTGTACTTGTACTTTATTAAGTAGAATAAATTAAATACATATATCTGGAGACCCTGTAACTTGCTTTGTGAAATAGATTCTGAATGAAGACCTTGGCCTCCAAAAAGTAAAAAACAAAACAAAAAAACAAATTCTCAACTGATAAGTGGAGAAATAAATTTGGCACTGTATACCCATAATGAAGAATATTACAGTGGACACTTGACCAACAAACTCAATTTGTTTGCAAGGGCTGGTTGTAATTTAGGTTGGCTATATAAGTCAAGATTATTTTTCCCCATAAGAAATAATGGAATACTCATAATGCATTCTGAACCTCCCAAAGTACCCCCTAACTAAACTTTTTGTAATAAAAAGGGTTGTAGAATGTGTGTAATTTACCAGAACACCAATAATTTTCATAAAAAGTAATTCACTAAAATGTATTCACTAAAAAATTATAAAATGTGCGTAAACAATTTCATACTGTACTCACCATTCAAGTTGACATCTCTGGCTTGCAGGAGGGGAGGATGAAATGGAAGGTGGTTATTGTTTGGAAGGAACTTCCCTGTCCATAAGAACATCAGGAATCTGGCTCCTTAGCGTCCTTTCTCTCCTTGGGAGTCTGTAGCCCAGGAGGACCTGCTTCTGGCTCACTAGGTGTCAACCTTTTCAGAAGTAAAAACTGGGTCTAAGGTTGTTGTCTTTTCTTTAACACTGTTCTGCAGTATGACATGACATTGTCATTAAGCAAGTGAATGTAATGATTGGCCTTTTCTCTGTCTGGGTGAGTTTTCTCCACAAATGTTTGCAGCTCTGTCCATTTTTTTTCAGGATTTCCTTTATTTCAGAACTTTGCTGCACTGCTTGTTGATACTCCCCCTCCTCTTCAGAAAGGTCCTCAGCTGCCATTCTGTGTTGCTCAGCCAGAGTTGCTGAGGTTCCTCTGAGTGTTCCTCCACCAGTCCCTCAACACGTAGACTGTCCCAAGAAAATTCCTCTTCCTTAGTGCAACCCAGGCAAGCCAAAAGGTTAGATACCTATGCTCAGATTCTGAAAAGAGATGTGACTCTGCTTAGCTCATCTTGTTTTACCAGATATCTATAGATTAACCTGATGTCACATGCAATCGCTTAATCTAATTGTCTTATACGATCATAGATATTTACACAGAACTGAGGGGCCTCACTTAAAAGGAGCTATGAGAATCTGGAAACACTAAGTGGTGTCACCAGTGTACTTGTACTTTATTAAGTAGAATAAATTAAATACATATATCTGGAGACCCTGTAACTTGCTTTGTGAAATAGATTCTGAATGAAGACCTTGGCCTCCAAAAAGTAAAAAACAAAACAAAAAAACAAATTCTCAACTGATAAGTGGAGAAATAAATTTGGCACTGTATACCCATAATGAAGAATATTACAGTGGACACTTGACCAACAAACTCAATTTGTTTGCAAGGGCTGGTTGTAATTTAGGTTGGCTATATAAGTCAAGATTATTTTTCCCCATAAGAAATAATGGAATACTCATAATGCATTCTGAACCTCCCAAAGTACCCCCTAACTAAACTTTTTGTAATAAAAAGGGTTGTAGAATGTGTGTAATTTACCAGAACACCAATAATTTTCATAAAAAGTAATTCACTAAAATGTATTCACTAAAAAATTATAAAATGTGCGTAAACAATTTCATACTGTACTCACCATTCAAGTTGACATCTCTGGCTTGCAGGAGGGGAGGATGAAATGGAAGGTGGTTATTGTTTGGAAGGAACTTCCCTGTCCATAAGAACAACAGGAATCTGGCTCCTTAGCGTCCTTTCTCTCCTTGGGAGTCTGTAGCCCAGGAGGACCTGCTTCTGGCTCACTAGGTGTCAACCTTTTCAGAAGTAAAAACTGGGTCTAAGGTTGTTGTCTTTTCTTTAACACTGTTCTGCAGTATGACATGACATTGTCATTAAGCAAGTGAATGTAATGATTGGCCTTTTCTCTGTCTGGGTGAGTTTTCTCCACAAATGTTTGCAGCTCTGTCCATTTTTTTTCAGGATTTCCTTTATTTCAGAACTTTGCTGCACTGCTTGTTGATACTCCCCCTCCTCTTCAGAAAGGTCCTCAGCTGCCATTCTGTGTTGCTCAGCCAGAGTTGCTGAGGTTCCTCTGAGTGTTCCTCCACCAGTCCCTCAACATCACCACTGTCTACCCGCAAGCCTATGGACTCTGCTATAGTGACAGTGTCATCAGGGTTGGGGTCAGTTGCAGGCTCAGGCTCCTCTACACAGCCTTCACAGTTTCTCTCCCATATAGTTTTAGGCCACACTTTATTCCAGGCAGATCTCAATGTTCTTAGAGAGACATTGGCCCAGGATTTCTCAGCCCCACACAGGAAAGACTGGCATTTTGGGCAGTAAACTCAAGACTTTGGTCGTATGTTAAAATTAAAATTCCAGTTGTGACCCAAGTTGTTTGTATGTGAGGCAGGTCGTAACTCAAGAGTACACTGTATTTGGCAGTAATACAGAGTGAAGTAGTAGTATATGCTGCAACATGAACAAACCTGAAAAACATTGTTAAATGAGAAAATAAAACTTACCATAAAAGATGTTATACTATATGATTCCATTTGTGTGCTACATCCCGAATAGAGATCAAAGGTAGATTAGTGGTTACCTAGGGCTCAGAAAAGTAGGGAGGATAATAGTGACACAAAACTAGTATGAGGTTTCTTTTAGAACAATGAAAGTTTTAAAACTATAGCATTGATTACAATTTATAATAATATACTATTTGTTGATTTATATATTTTATATGGATGAATTGTATGAATGTGAATTAAACCTTAGTTAAAATATTAAAAATCCTAGACTCAAACTCACAGTCTATGGCAGTATAAATAATACAGATAATTATAAATTGAAAGGGCCAGGGATTTAGCTCAGCGGTTTGGCCATCTGCCTTGCAAGTGCAAGGACCCAAGTTTGATCCCCAGTACAAAAAAAAATTATAAATTGAAAATAGGAAATGGTTGTAAGTACTGCTAGGTCATGTTGACACATTATATATATTGGTTCTGTGTGCTCACTTCAGCAGCACATATACTAAAATATATTGGTTCTGTGATTCATCTTTAATTATCTGTCAGATTAATTATCTGTAGGAAGAGGGTATGATTAAAGTTTTAGAGGAGTTAAGAAGTTATCTTAGAAGATAAGAGAATATTTAATGGAGCAGAACCTGAATTTAGAGCATAAAGCAGTAACAATAATTATTTCCTAAAATAAACTAGGAAGGACATTCCAGGCCAAGAGAAAATTAGTAGTCCAAAGCTATCTGAGATCTAAAATTATTACTAGAAATATGAGCAGGAGAATATATGAAGAACCTGAACTTGACCAGAATATTACTCTAATATATTTAATGGTTACAGTGACGTTCCCTGGATTTTCCATAACAGTTTCATTTCAAATGCTTATTTTTTTTTTCCACGAGCCCTCAATGTTGAAAAGCAACCTGTTGAACTTGGGGAGTGCTCATTTTAAATATGTATAAAAAAGAATTATAGGGGCCGGGGTTTTAGCTCAGCGGTTCGTCGGCCTGCCTCGCAAGGGCAAGGACCCAAGTTCAATCCCCGGTACCAAAAATAAATAGATAAGAATTATACTTTACCTGCTCAGGTGAACTAGTAGACCAATAAGGTTTAATTTACATGAATTCAATTACATTATATTTGGTGTCTGCCAATTTTCATGTCCTCATCTGACCATAATTAAATATATTTTGAGCTATTCAAATTTAATTCACCTAAAAGTACAAAATAAAATTGGGGCATTATAAAATACTGATTTCCAATTTCCTCCCAAAACAAGGGCAAAACTAAAACCTGACATTAAATGGAACTTATGACCTACCACATAAACCTTTATGCTGCATGTCTTGTTTGACTTGGGTTTTAGGAAAGAGTGACTGATTACTTCAGGAAAAAAGAATAATTGTGATTTTAACTGACACTTGAATTTGAACCAAAAATAGCAGTATGGAACAGATTACATTTTATCTTTCTCTCCCAAGTCACCTAATCTGTGTTTGTACCTGCTTTTTTATGTTTGCTCTATTTTCTTATTATTGTTCACTTGTTTTTTTTAATTACCTGATTTTTTTATTCCTTTTAAGTTCAGTGTCAATATCCTAGTGAGTTTTATGTCCTTTTTTATGGGTCAGAGGTACTTGGGATCCATGGATTCTTTCAGGAATACCTTAAGTACACTAAAAGTATATATTTGTACATGTGTAATTTTTCTTGGGAGAAAATACTAGTAGCATTAACAGCAAGTATATGCAGTGTAAAGTGCTGATTATCTCATGTGGCCTTTTTCACTGGAGGACATTAAAATATCCTTGAACTTAAGTACATCAGCATCTAAACTATCTCCCAGACTGCCTAGTGAGAAGCAGACTATAGGCTAGAGCTGTGGCTCAGTGGTAGAGTGCTTGTCTATAATGCACCAGGCCTTGGATTCTATTCATCACCCCACCCGACTCTCAAGGAAAGAAGGAAAGCGGGGAGGGGAGGGAAAGGGAAGAGAAGGGAAACAGCTATGGGTGTTGTATCATTATCATATGTTTAATTGTATGAATGAAGCTTGTAAATCTGGATTTTAACATTTATAAAAAATAGTTTATTAAATGTTTTAAACAGAATCAGTAATTTAATAAAGACTTCTTTTTAAATTATGTTTTAGTTCTGGAGATGGTTTTTGGCAAACTTGGCTTCTGGTGGAGCTGCTGGGGCAACATCCTTGTGTGTAGTGTATCCACTAGATTTTGCCCGAACCCGGTTAGGTGTTGATATTGGAAAAGGTATGGAATTATAGGTATATTAACTTTTCCTTGTGTTATTATATAATTATACTGTATCAATAGTGTTACATGGGCCAGGGATTTAGCTCAGTGCTTGTGCTGCATGCCTTGCAAGCACAAGGACCTGAGTTTGATCATTGGTACCAAAAAAAAGAATAGTGTTATCAAATACAGCCTATGAGTATTATAAATGGTACTTGTAGCACCTAAAGTATACTTTTTAATTTTACCTTAAAAGAGAAAAGAGGAAGGCCCATTTTAACAGAAGAATGAACACAGGCTGCTTATAACTCAGTTTCATTTTTTTTTTCCTGAGTGATTTCTGTATGTGCTTTATTCTTGTCTCTCTAAGTTAAATGTATAACTTTCATCCTGGAGATTCCCTGAATCATCTCTAAGTATTTTTCTATTAACTTCTGCTAATGTTATTTTATCTTTATTTTATTTTATTATTATTATTTTTGTAATGGGAAATTAAAGTTGGGTCCTTGTACTTGCGAGGCAGGCGGCAGAACCACTGAGCTAGATCTCCAGCCCTCTTTTTGATTTTTTGAGACAAGTTCTCACTATGTGGTTCAGGCTGGCCTTGCACTCATTATGTAGCTGAGGTTGGCCTCCCACTTGTGGCCATTCTCCTGCCTCAGCCTCCTGAATGCCGGGATTGCAGGTGTGTGCCACCAAGCACAGCTATTTATGCTAAATTTAATGAAATATTTTAAATCAGATTGCTTGAATTAGATTGCTTTTATGAGAGATTAATGTTTTTAGTTAATTATTTTTAAAATACTACTTGAAATCTTGAATATCTTACATGACTGGAAGGATTTGGGGTTTTTTGGTTTGTTTGTTTGGTTCCAAGGATCGAACTTCTTGGGTCCTTGCGCTTGCAAGGCAGGTGGCAGAACCACTGATCTAAATCCCCAGCAAGAAGGATTTTGATTTGTGTCTTCTTTCTAAGTGAAAGTGTCAAATTATTTAAGTCGCTAAAATGTTGGCTTTACTTTTGATTAAGGTGTTTGATATACAACATTGCTAATAGTTTTTATTGGCTTTATTTTAGGCCCTGAAGAGCGACAATTCAAGGGTTTAGGTGACTGTATTGTGAAAATAGCAAAATCAGATGGAATTGTTGGTTTATACCAAGGGTTTGGTGTTTCAGTTCAGGGCATCATTGTGTACCGAGCCTCTTATTTTGGAGCTTATGACACAGTTAAGGTAATTTGGGGCTTTACCTTTGTTATATTAAATAAATGTTCATATCTTTTTATTCTGATTAGTAATGTGCTCAGTGTATATGTTACTTTTAATTATGCAAATCAAAATGATAACAGAGACATGAAATTCTATTTAATCGTGGCTGCTGTGACCTAATTAAAGTATAAATATTATGGATCTGACTTTATATATAAAACATGTATTAGAGTAGTAGGCTTTCATATTGTTTGCAGTATACACCATGTTACATATAGAAACATACTAATTAGGCTTGTATCATAATCAAATCTTCAGCATATAGAAAAACATCTATCCGTTTGCTTTTTTAAACTTTATTATCACTTTTTGTATGCATTTAATAACTTGCTATTACTATTGTGGGAAAGCTTAATTGTTATGATACCTTGGATATCCACTAGATATTAAATTTTGTGTTGTATTCTGCAGGTCACTTTACAATTTGCCTTTTCATTTCTCAGAAGCTTGTTAAGTATTTTACATCCGCACAATGTTCTGGTATACTTTATTTTTTTAATTTCATTGGTACATTTTAGATATACATAATGATAACATACATCATAATGGAATTTGTACCTGTACATGATACATCTTTCACTCCCCTCCCTTCAACCCCTTTTCCCGTCCTTCTTTCCCCCTTGTACCTTCCTGTTCCCCCTTCCCATTTGAACATTTTCTTCTTATTTTGCAATATGTGTTACAAATTTTGGTCCTTTTTAACATTTTAGGTTTCTTTGGCATAGTTAAAACCCTTACTTTCAAGATAAATGTCCTGGGAAAGCTAAATAATTTACTTATTAATGACAAGTAGAACTCCATTGCTATAGCAAAATGCTTCCAAAAGGAAGCACTGAACCCAATGTCAATATTATTTGTTAAATACAACTTAAACTTGAGGAAAATTTTATATCTACCATCCCTCATTAGTATAAATGTAGTTGAGTGTTATTGTGGTGTGGACAGATTACTTCAGTTTTTTGTGTATCTTTTAGACAGATTAGTGAAAATTACAGCATCTAAGTACATTTATTTAATCATAGAAAAATGTATATCTACTTTTCCTCTGCTTTTCTCTTATCTCCTGTAATAGTTATAAAATGTAGTAATATTTCTTCACCAGCTTAGAACTTTACAGCTACTCATCAAATTATTGGTTTATGATAATGGCAAACAGTCTTTCATTTTTTTCAACTCCACAAGGAAGAGCCATGGAAGAATTCTTTTTCTTACTGGCTGCCATTATTTTTAGTTATTGGTTCATTAAGAACATATCCCTTTAATAGCAGATATGCTATTTTTTCAGCTATACCATTGAAATACAGTCATGTGTGTCCCTGGCCTTTCTTACTGAATTTGCTACTATTAAATCCAAACAGTTTTCATTGTGTTTTAAATATAATTGCACCTTCTTTCATATATTTATAAAAATTATCCTATGAGTTTAGCATTTAAGATACCTCAGAAATTTAGATGGTTACTTGGTACATTTTTCTTTTCTAGGGCTTATTACCAAAGCCAAAGGAAACCCCATTTCTTATCTCATTTTTCATTGCTCAAGTTGTAACTACATGCTCTGGAATACTCTCTTATCCCTTTGATACAGTTAGAAGACGCATGATGATGCAGGTAATTTATGTTTAATTTGTAAGCTTAGTTGATTTTTCTAACATCTTTGATATCTAGGTATAATTTATTCAAATGTCAGAGAAATTGTAGCAGAAAGGCAAGTCATTTATTTTACTTAGCTAACGAAAAAATACTATGATATATTCTGTGTTATATTCTTTCAGATGAAATAGTCACCATTCAGCAAAGCTTCTTACTCATCTGCCATCAGAACAGAAATACCTTCTCCTGTAGAAATATATTTGAGGGGTTGAGGGAGATGGCAGAGATTGAATGAGTATGTGTATTTTAACTAAAATTATGCCCAGTTACAAGCCATTGACACATAATCATTTATTATATTTTGATAAATATAAATAATTTTGAACTGTATGGATGAGAACTTGTTTATAGTGACCTGTGTTCTAAATATAAATTCCTAAGTCCAAATTTTGATACATCCTATCTCTGTTGCTGTTACTTGTTACAGTAATCCCTTCAGTAAATTTCTGAGTTCAGTTTTCAATCTATCCTAAGTTCTGGTGACATAAATAAGACATATCCTGTACCCAAACTTACAATCTAATATTGAAGATAATTAATGGCCTAAATAAAAATGCGCATAGCTTTTAGAAATGCATAGAGAAGGAGTACCCAGATGTTTAAAGTGATTAGATGTGGCTTCTTGAAGAGCAAAATCTCAGTAGGCTTTTTCCAGACAGAACATTCGAAACATGGAGCAGGGTTGGGGGATGAGTGAGATAGAGCTTGAAAAGTAATCTTTTTGGCCAGATAAGTTTCCTGAGGCCAAGTGAAAATAATGAGTCCAGAAAGCTAGAATAGTAATATGGTATTTCCTATGTGACATATACTATCTCAAACATTTTAGATTTTTGATTTATTAAATTCTGAAAACAATTCTAGGCAGTTTGGTCCTTATTTTTATCATTTATAAAACAGTTTTAGAAGAATCTAGTAAATTACCTGGAAGGGTAACCTTTTTTACTTCACTCATAGACAATCCTAAGAGTTATTCCTTTAACATCTGAATTTCATCTTCCTATTCTAGTTCTAGTTTACTACATTGATACACTTTTTAAAAATTATTTTAACAAATTAGTACACAAATTATGGAGTACAGTGTGATATTTCAGTACATATATATAATGTGTACCGATCAGATCAGGATAATCGGCATAGCCATCAACTCAAACATCAAAATCCTACATTTGGAAACTTTAAAAATGGAAAATGGTCTAGGGATATATCTCAGTTCATATGCTCTGGGTTCAATCCCTACTACTGAAAAATAGTAATTTTTTTTTAAGAAAATATATAAGGAAGCAGGGTGTGGTAGTACATGCCTGAAATCCCAGCACTCTGAGATGCTAAGCAGGGGTCCAGCCTGGGCTACATAGTGAGTTCAAGGTCAGTCTGGACTACATAGGGTGATCTTGTCTTTAAAAAAAAAAAAGTAGATGGTGCTAGGGATTTAAGTTAGTTTCAAAGGCCCTAGGATCAATCCTTTGTATCATCAAAAAAAAAAATGATAGTAGTATTTTACATACTTTTTCCAAGGATAAAGAAGCATGATGTCTACAATTTAACTCTTACAATGGTACAGAAAAAACTGTGCTTGTGGGGAGTGTGTGTGTGAGAAAGAATATCAGGTTGGTAGGGTTGATATAACAAATACCACAAACTAAATGACAACAAATTTTCTCATAATTCTGAATGCAAAAAGTTGGAGATCAAGATGTTGGTAATGTTGGTTTCTTCTGAAAGCGTCTTGCCTTGGCTTTTGGTTTACTATCTTCTTCCTTTGTCTCTCATGGTCCTTCTTTCTTCCTCCTCTTATAAGGACAATCGTATTAGATTAGGACACACTATGGTGATCTCATTTAACATTAATTATCCTTAATGACTCTGTCCCAAAATACAGTAACATTCTGAGGTACTGGGGCTTAGATCTTCAACACATGATTTTAGGTACACAGTTCATCCTATGAGAGTACTGTTGAATTTTGTATTTTAATTTTATATCCTACAACTTTGTTAACCCTATTATGAAAGTTAGTTTATATGTACACACTTCTGAGGATTATTTACATAGATAATCAGTTAATAATACTGTATTTTCCTCTCCCTTATCAGTTCTTATACCTTTTTTTCTTGCCTTTCTTCACTCACTAAGATCTCTAATTCAACTTTATACTAAAGAATAGCTGACATCCTAAGAATCCCTTTAGTATTATATAACAATGTTAAATGTACGATTTTTTTTTATAGTTAAACTTCCGTCTTATTGGCAGTTACTTTCTGTTCCTAAGTTAGAATTTTTAATCATGAATGGCAGTTGTTTTTCTTTATCTATTGAGATGATCCTGTCATTTTTCTCTTTTAATGTTACTATATTGTATTACACTAAATCTCTTTTCCAGAGCTAAATTTACCCTGTATGCCTGGGGTAAACCTAGCTTTGTCATGATGTTTTATATCCTTTTGAAGATTTGATTTGAGAGTTTTGTCCAAGACTTTGTTATCCATACTTCATTAACATTACTGGTGTTTTAACTCCTTGTATTGTCATAGTTTGACTGTTGTATCAAGCTATTCGGGCCTCAAAATGTGTTGAAAGTCTTCTCACCTTTTTTCTTCTCTAGAATAATTTCTGTTAAGATTATAAGGAAGCATTCATTTAATGTTGAGTAGATCTCGCTATCTGGATGTATGGGTTTCCTTATGAGTTTGTTTTGAACAACTAAATTTCATTAACAGTTACAGTATTGTTCCATTCTATTGATAAATTATACTTTTCTAGGAATTTATCCATTTCATCAAAGACAGTTGTCATGAAGCTTTTCATATCTTGCTCCTTTCACCAGTGGGTCATCTTTATGTTACCTTTGCCATTTCTAACAATCTTGTCGCCTTCTCTCTTTTCCTTCTAATATTATTTCCAGAAATTTATCCACAAAGTATTTCAAGAATTGCATACTTTACATGCTTCCTTTTATTTTCTATTATCTATTAACTTTTTATGTGCTCTATTGTATTTATTTTGTTTCCCTTTATAACTGTTGATTATCTGCTTATATCTGCTTATCTGAACTTTTTTCAGGTTTTTTTCTAAAAATGTCTGTTAATTTCTTTTCTAATATTAAGGTCATTCATTTTTCTATAAACACTCAAGCAGTCAGTATCTTACAAATTTAAGGGGTGTTATAATTGTTTGGTTTTAAGTATTTTCTAAGGCATTTTTCCTTAATTCAAATATACATTTTTCTAGTCATCTTTTTTGCTCTTAATTTTCTCTCTTATTTGTAGTGTAGTCTATGTAATGTCATCATTTGACATTTGTTATTGCTGATCTATGGTCAGTTTTCAAATATGTCTAAAAAAGTATGAATATTCTCATAACTCAATATACTTTATTCAGTGTAAGCTAATTACTTCAACATAATGTCAATCATCTATCTTTACTACTGATAGAAACTATTTTAAGATAAATGATGTCAAAATAATATAAAATTGTTTTTCTTTATGTAGAGTGGTGAGGCTGAACGGCAATACAGAGGAACCATAGATTGCTTTGTGAAGATATACAGACACGAGGGAATCAATGCATTTTTTCGTGGTGCCTTCTCCAACATCCTTCGTGGTACAGGAGGTGCTTTGGTGTTGGTGTTATATGATAAAATTAAAGAATTCCTTAATATTGATATCAAAGGTGGTTCATCAGGAGATTAAATTGAAAAATGCATGCATCTAACCTGTTAAAAATACAAATGCTGCCATTTGTATACGTTTTGATAGGATGTTATTACTGTCTGTGTCTTAAAGTGGTATTTCTGCAATAAAGCATAGACTTTCTTCAAGGGTTTAAATATTGAAAAACAGATAAGTATATGTTTCCTTCCCACTTATACTAAACTCATTGTAATGAGACATTTTACTTATAAGTAGTGTATGTTATTTGTTTAAAATTATTTGCTTACATTTGTTATGAAAATTAAATTATATAATGCTGAAATCTAAAAAAATGAAAGCATCTTCTTTTAAATTGCTACTCATTTAATATACCTGTTTTCCCATCTTTTAAAAAAATCATACAGTTAAAGAAGTATTTTGTAAAATTCCAGAGATGATGTCATCATTATGTCTATAGGAATGAATAAACTTTCTTCCAAGACAACTCAGGTATTATTATGTATATTACTTACAGTATCACATAGCTTTGGTAAGCACAGATTATAGACCTGATCATTAAAATTTGATAAGGACTTTAGTGATACTGTAAAATGGGTTGGAAAATAAGATATAAAATGGTTTATCTGCTAATCTTTATTTTACAATAAAGTCTTACCAAGTGTGAATATATCTTGTAACAAAAGATATCTCCTTGAACATTTGTTTTTGTATTCCATATCAACAATAAAGGAAGTTTTAAGTTTGTAATTTAAAGTTGTAAATGAGCTTTTTTTCCCTATCACTTTTTCTTTTCCATTAAGTTTACTGGTACACTAAAACACAATTCAGTTGTATTTATCATTGGGATCTTGTACCTTTACCTTTATATCTTGGTTTTTGTTTTTTCCCCATACCCCTGCCCTCCATTCACCCTCTTCTTTTCCCATCACTCTTAACATTAATAGTAAGTAGAAGATAGTAAAATTTTTGTGATGAGTGGGAACTGGCTTAAAGAGAACAAAAGATGTTTGTAGAAAAATATAAGCATCTGTAAGGTTTTGTACGAGACTGTCTTTTTTTTTCCAGAGATGTTGTAGAACATAATACATTTAAAATGACCAGTGTTTCAAAGTTTGAATGAGTAAAAGAATGTTAAGCTAGTTGGATAAACTAGGGATAGATTTTGTGAAGCTGAAAATGTAATAGAGTAGGCAGACTTACTGGTGGACAGGTGCAAAGTACATTTCAAAGAAAATCCAAAATATACTCTTTACTATATTAGTTATAAAATATGTGTATTAGTATCACTCAAGGGGGAAAATAACTCTTGAAAACTCTCAACGTCATTTCTTTCGGCAGTCAACATAACACAAGTTATAGAAAGAAAATATAAAATACTTTTAAATTATAACATCCAAGAAAATTAAAACAACCAAATTGTTTTCTCATATAAAGATTAATAGTATAAAAATTTTAATTTGTACAAAGCAATGCTTAGTGGAAAAAAGTCATTTTTTTTATGCTATTGGTAATATAGGTTTAAGCCAGGGAATACTTAGCTACATTGCCAGTCCTTTTAATTATATTTTGAGACAGAGTCTTGCTAAGTTACCCAAGCTGGCCTCAAACTTGGGATCCTCCTCCCAAATACCCGAGATTACATTATGTGCCACCACTCCCAGCAAAAGACTTTACAATTCTGAAAGGCATAGGTAGAGGGCAAAGAAATACATTCTGAATTGCTAAGCCAAAAATCTATTATAAAGTCTAGAAGGTACACAGTTAAAAGATATATGGAGCTGAGCTAAAACTACATTAATATAAAATATTGATGATCAGTACAGATTTTTTTTTTTTTTTTTTTTTTTTTTTTTTTTTTGGTGGTACAAGGGATCAAACTCAGGGCCTTGCACTTGCAAGGCAGGCAGTGGAACCGCTGAGCTAAATCCCTGGCCCCTATTACAGATTTCATAAGGAAGTAATTTTGCCAAATGTTAACACTAATATTGACAAATACATAGCTAAAGTACATCCAATATGAATAGTTTTTAAATTTCTAGGTCTACTACATCTTACAGAGAATCTTATATCATTTCCTGCCTTAAAATTATCTCCCCAAATAATACCTAAAATTCCATTCGCAGAACTTCATTCTTTAAGATCCTCTGTATTTTATTAAAATACATCTTCCATAAGACAAGATAACCTTTTGATAGTAATTTATACTTTTTGAAAATACATTTATTTTTATTTTGTTAATTTCAATTCTTTTCTCAGGTTTTGCTGGTGGGTGGGAAAATGAAAATATGTACTAAGATGCTAGGGGCCCCTCAAGAGTTTTTAATAGTTTATATTCCAACTCCGGATTGATGTTTTATAGAAATAGGACTTTAGCATCCTCAAAACTAAAATTTCCAAAGTAGTTCCTTTGTTTATATATAAGAATTATGCAACATAAATAGATAACTTCATTCCTCATAGCTGACTAACCTAAAAGTGAGTTCAAAGGGGATTCTTCCCACTACCTGTTTAAATGTTAGTATTATCTAGGGGCCAGTCCAACTTACTCTTCTAACTTTATATTTGTTCCCTATCTCCATTTCTTAATCCTTAGTTTCAGGAACCGTCTGTTTGCCATTGACACTCAGATTTCTCTCTAGCCTGGATTCCTCTAGATTTTCAAATGTATGTTTCAACCTGTCTCTTCTTCTTTCTTAGCTAGTATCAGCATTTCTATAACCCATTATTTCTAAAACCTAACTCATCTTAATTTACAGACTTTTGTCTTTCCCTTATCTTGCTTAGTAGTACATACCCCTTCTATACAGTCACCCACCATTAGAGTCCTGGAAGCCTTCCTTGCTCTCCTCCTACCTTGGTTCGCATAGCAGCAAACAGATCAACAACTCATAAATTCTACTTTTTAAATCATTTTTCTTCTATTTTGTTTTGTTTCTTTGCTTTGCTTTTTTTTTTTTTTTTGTACCCAGGATTGAACTCAGCACCTTGTGCTTGCGAGGCAGATGTCAGAACCACTGAACTAAATCCCCTGCTCTTCTTTACATTTTGATTGTCATTACCTTATTTAGGACTTACACAAATTATATTTTAATTAATTTTATTGCTACATTTTAGGTATACAGTACAGTTACATTCATCATTGGGATCTTGTACCTTTACATTACAGGTCTTAGTTCTTTTTTTTTTTTTCTGTACCTTTATGTAATCTATCTCGGTTCTTATCTTTTTTTCCCCCATTCCCTTGCCCTCCCTCCAACCCCTCCATCTCTCCCTACTTCCAAAGACTTTGTTTCCATTTTTTCATATTAATTACATTCCCTTTTCTTTTCCCTATCCCTCCCACTTACCCTTTTCCCCTTTTCTTCCTATTTCACATTATCTATTATACCTGAAGTCCTTATTTACACTTTCAGTTTCTCACACCAGAGAAACTATTTGGTATTTACACATGTACAAATTATATTTTAATAGCCTACTGTAGTAAAAGTAAGGCTAAGTTGTAACAGAGACTCAAATACAGTGGTTTAAACAAGACAGATGTTTCCCTTATATAATAATCGGGAAGTTGGCAATGCAAGCCAGCAGCACAAATGAACTTCAGACACTTTCCCTTCGGTCTTTTGGTTCTAATCTCCCAAAGCAGGGATTTAGAATCATTTTTGTGCCACCGACATCTTAGAGCCAACCTAGTAGAGTCTGAACCCTTTCTTGCAATGAAGTTTTTAAATACATAAAATACTTAAGAATAAAAGGAAATAATATGTGAAATATAGTTATTAAAATACAAAAATTAATGATACATATACTTTTAACAGGAAGAAAAGCCTAGTGATTCATATATTAGTTAATATGACAATGTTTAAAGATACATCCAACAATTATGTGATATGAAAATACCTGATTTCTACTGATAGGAAGAATCAGTGATACTAATACTACTGTGATCTGTGCCTATATTCACAATTGAAAGAAATGTTGCATTTCAGTTAAAGGTTAATTCAAGACCTCCCCTTCCCTTAATTATATGAACCCCTTGAGGATCTGTAACCTAAGGTGAAGAATTGCTGTCCTAGAGCATTAGTAATTACTTATCTACATAGTAGTAAGGAAAAGAGGAAGCAGCAGGAGGAATTTTAACCAGGTGAGTGGAAGTTCCATGTATCCTATTCACACATTGGTGAGACTAGTCACATGGCCATGTGTAGTTATAAAGAAGATGGAAAATGCAATTTGTAGCTGACTGAAAATTAGGAATCTGTGACAGCCTCCCAAGTGACCATTTTGCATACAACCTCATTTTGCTCTAATCCATTTAAAAAGTGCTACCAAACTACTTTTAAACACCAGTCTTTTGTATTTTTAGTTATTTATTTCACTAAGTTGCGTAGTCTAGGCTCAAAGTTGGGGGTCCTCCTGCTTCAGCCTCCCAAGTAGCTGGGATTACAGGTTTGTACCACTACACCCAACTACTTTTCTTATAGGCACAAAAAAATATTTTCTTTAGTTTTAGGGATACTGTGAATATGCTTACATTATTTAATCATTAAAAATAGACCAGTGTATATATATATATTTATCATTTTATCACACTTTGAACTTGGGGCTTGGAGAGTTCAGTAACTTGCCAAAAGTCCTACAGGTAGGAAGTTAAGTAAGCCTGGAACTAGAACTCAAATCCACGTAACTCCAAAGCCTGACCTGTTCGTAGATACTAGGTACTTTGGTGTCCTCCCATTAATTTTTTTTTTTTTTTTGGTACTGCGTATCGAACTCCGGACCTTGAGCTTGTGAGGCAGGCGGTGGAACCACTGAGCTAAATCCCCAGCCCCCGCCTCCCTCCCATTAATTTTAAGGAATAATAATTCGTCCCACCTAGCAAAAAACTTTTTCTTGTTTTTACTTTGTGTTTCAAATGTTCTTTTGGCCAGTATGGTGGCACACACGGAGGATTGCCATAAATTCGAGGCCAGCTTGGACTGAAAAAAAAAATTCTTTTAATTGAAAAATCTTTTTGCCTCAGGTTTTATAGGCATTATGGATAAATAAATGGAATCAGTTAAATAAATGGCCCCTGGAGAATTTGAGGATATCCAGGAACAAATCTAAATGATGGGGAATCATCACCGTTCCACGATGACGGCTGGAGAGGCTGTTAAGCGGTGGAATCCAGAAGGGCCCAGGGTTCTGTCAGGGGCAGCAGCATGGAATTCTGACTCTGCTCTCACAATGCCTGCTGAGAAGGGAATCTTGCTGAGGCTCATAGGGTGGCATCGGCCCAGCATGGCTTGTTTCCTGTGTAGGCTGAAATGGAGAAGCATGATTGTTTAGAGAGACAAGAATCGAATCAGTACTGTATATTGCAGTTTCCTTACAAAATGGATGACATAGTCATCATAGCAATAGCAGCAGGAGCTATAACCACTCTTGCTGCTGTGGCTATAGCAGCATTATTAATAGCAAAATGTCTAAGTTATTTTAAGAAGACAGCTAGGGACAATGAGGGTACTAAAGAATCAGGTAAAAAGCCCACACCTATTTTCAAGATGGCAACCAGTGTGGAACAGGAAACTGACAAAGAATTGAAGGAGAAGAAACGGGACACACGAAGAAGTGGAAGAGAAGGAACTGGTGTCCCAAGAACTGGAAAAGGAACAGGAATTGCACGAAGAAATGAACAAAAAGGAACAGGGCGGCCGAAGTTCGTGAGTATAAACTATAACTTGATTAAATTGCAGACAACGGCAAAAGATGGCAAACTTGGAAGAAGCAAGATCACACCAGCTCCTTTTTGGGGCAATCAGAGGGTAGCAGCTGCAGGCTAAAGCACTGGCTGGGCTGGGCCTGGTGACAGACCTAAAATCAGTTTCCTGCAAAACTGTCAGGGGTAAGGGAAGGGGGAGAAGACCGCATCTTTTAGATTGCGATGAAGGAAGCTGCGTGAACGCACAGTTGTCAGTGTGCTCGCTGACACAAGTTTGGCTGTGCTGTTTCAAACTGGAAAGAAAACCCTAGAAAGCCTTAGTTCTTCAAGCGTGGAGGTCGGGCTCGGCGGCGGGGCGTCGCACAATGGGCGCCACCTCACAAACGCGGGCGGCGGGGT